AAAAAAAAAAAAAAAAAAAAAAAAAAAAAAAAAAAAAAAAAAAAAAAAATCGGTACAATGTTTGACTGAAATGTATGACACAACTTCATAATTGTAACCAACATTTGAAAGCCAAAGGAGAGTGAGTTAGGCTTGAGTATTGAAGATTTCTTATATTTCTTCCTTATTTTACAACTTACGATACATAAAGATAAAACAACAAGAAAAACTCATTAAAAAAAGGTAAGACTCATCTAACCTAGTCAAATCCGATAAGCTTTAGGTCTAAAATATTACAAATTAAACAGAAAAGATAATTTCCTAATTTTCTCGTTGAAAGAAACTATTACATTTAAAAATGTAGAGAAAGCGAAGAATTTCATGATTTGGAAAATTTTCTTTTTCTGGGTACCAAATGACAAACTTCATAGAAGACTTCCTCACTGGAATTTATCTCCACAATGATGCATTATTAGCACGAATGGCTTGGATCCCAAAATCATCTCTTCACGACACGTATGCTTGCAAGAAATTTTTGGAATCACCTACAGAATTCCTTCCATTGGCATATGGTCCTTCTGGCGGATCCAAAGATCCTCCTTGCTTAGGCTTTGGACGGTCATTTTTTCAAAAAGAAAAAGAAGCTAATGTGGGAACATTTTATGAGAGCTTTCTGATGGACCGTTTGGCAAGAGCAAAATAGAAGAATCTTTCAAGATAAAAAACTTACCTACACTAGATTTTTTGAGGCTATAGTTAGCTTGGTTGTGACTTGGAGTAAATGCTCTCCTCTTTTTCATTACTTTAGCTTTTCTTTCCTCCTACCTAATTGGAGAATCTTATCCCCCTATTGGCCCCCTTCCTTTTGTAATTTCATACCATCAACGAAATTATTTTTCTAATACAAAAGGTCCCTGAAATTTAAAAATATCAAAAAAGTCCCTGAAATTTCAATTTTGTGTCTAATAGGTTCCAAATATATTCAACATTTTTTAAAACTAACAAATCTTGAATATTGTGTTTAATAGGACATTAAACTTCAATTTTGTCTCCTTCGGAACTGATTAACTATTAGACACAAAATTAAAAGTTTAAGAACTAATTAGATACAAAAGTAAGAGTCTATAAATTTATTAAACACTTTTATAAATCCAACAACCTATTGGATATAAAACTGAAAGTTCAGTGACCAATTAGAAACCTTTTAAAGTTCAACAACCTATTTGACACACACTTAAAAGTTCAAACTATAATTGTAATTTAACCTATAAACTAACATATCAATAGCAACTTACATTATTGAAACAATGAACAAGTTATCTAATACATAGAAAAAGCAAATCAAGGTTCAAGTCGAGAACAAAGAAGGTTGAATTCAGAAACCTAAAAAACTTGACATTTATAGTTATCATGTATATCAACATATAAATGTTGAGCTAAAGTCTACTCTATTCATAGGGTCAACACAGGTAGGCAACGAGAGCCTCTAAGGATAAAATACGCTACTAGTTAACCCACCCTAGTAGACATGAAACTTCAGGAGACAGAGCTTTACTTGTATTACTTTATGGTTTTTTCCCATAAAATTGAGGAAATCGGGGCAAGGGAGGCACTAATAACAATGAGATATAGAATGATTTCCATCAAATGAAACTTTTGATTTTATTCCAATTAGGATAAATATAAATTTAAGGCAATGTAAATGTACCATCATCATCACAGGGTACAGCATTGTCTGGACAATCTCTCGTATGATCCAAAGTACCTTCACAAGAAAATTATACATCATTGCTATTAGATATAACAGCAAACCAGATTTCTATCAGAAACCAACATATATATGCATTGTCTGGAGTTTCTCTGCATGATCCAACTAATCTCACCAATATTTTAAACTTGTAAGACCAAAATAGTTATTTAGAGATAACAAAAACCACCCCACCAAGTTTATCCAGTGAGCCAAAAATTCATCTCCATTGATTTTAAATGAAAAAGACAAGAAAAATTCACCAATTCCAACGGAAGCTTCATCGACTGAATTATGAGAAGACAGCGTAACAGTTGCGGATGAAGTTCGATCCTCTTTCACAATCTTCGCGAACCTAAAAGATGAAATAGAAATTAAGAAGCGAAAATCGAAGTCGAACCAACCAAATCATACTAGGATATCCACTCTAATCAAGAAATTCAGAACAAAGTAAAACCAATACCTAACAGTCTAATTAACTTCAAGAATTTGACCTAAGATAACTTGAATGCTAACATTTCGAACAAGAAGTTTACCCAGCCGAAGAAGAGACTTGGTCTTGCTGTTTAAGAACCAAAGCTTTAGCCGCAATGTCGTCGGCTTTAAGAGAGAAGCCTTTAGAAGAGTAAAGAGCAGACAAGTCGGTGAGAGCGGCGGCCAATTGAGGATCTGGATTAGAGTTTTCTGAAGTTTGGAGGTCAGAAATCACCGATTCGAGAAGAGAAATTGCAGCATCAGTGTCACCGGCAGTGACGAGATCCTCCACTGTCTCACTCCAGTTCGATCGCCGCTGTTGCCGTTCTTCTTCTTTGTCCATCGCTCCGGTTGATAATCAAGCAACAGAGGAAGATGAGGAAGTCGCGCAGAAAGTTTATAAATATCTCAGTCGTATCCGTACACCATGAACTAACCTCTGTGTGATTAATGTATATAGCTTTTCTAAATACACCAATTTATTTATCAAAGGTAAAATCCATTTATGCTCGAGCTGGTTAGGTCAGTGACCCGAGCCACTACGACTAACTCCTAAAATTTTGGGTGGATTAGATCGGTGACTCGAGCAAACTCGAACTAAGTTCAAAACCCAACCTTGTATTTTTCGGGATGGGTTGTTCATTTTTTTCAATTATTTAAAAAAATATATTTATCTACGTTACATTAATAATTAAAATCTTGTAAAATTCAAATATTAAACATTAAATACTTTTAATTTTTTTAAAACTAAGGTAGGGTTGAATTGGATTGTAATATTATTTTCGGGTTCGTCCGGATGAAAGTCCCACCTCAACTAATTTAGGAACTGATTACGGTTTATAATCAAGGAATAATGTTTATTGGTGTGAGGCCTTTTGGAAAGCCTAAAGCAAAGTCACGTGAGCTCACGATCAAAGTGAACAATATCATAGCAAATGGGCCTCCAAGAGCAGCGGCCCACTTTATTGAACTTGAGCATGGGCCTCCAAGTGTAGCAGGCCTACTTTATCGAACTTGGTCCGGACCTTGAATTATATAAAAATAAAGAGAGATTTGTTTAAACCAATCCAAAAGTTTGGATTGGTTGGATTGGTAACCCAACCCAACTCGAAAATTTTCACGACCCAACTCAACCTTCTATTTTTGGATTGGGTTCGAGTTGTTCCAAACCGAGAAAAGACAAGAAGTCAAGCGGAGAAACAATGGAGCGCCAAGTGGAGAAGTCCAACAAAAAACACAGGGAAAAGGTCGAGAAATAAAGGGACAACTGACGAGCGAAGTTGATGTCTTCTATGAGATGAGAACGACATCAACAAAAGAAATAAAGAGGCGAACAATGAAGACAAACATTGTAAGATGAGAACGATGAAGACGAAGAGCAGAGAGACAATGAGAAAGATAAGAACAATGACAAAGATCACACAAAAACAAAGAACAAAAACAAAGACACAGTGCAAACACCTTAAGTGCAATGGCAGATGCACACGTGATTCATGAGCTTGGGTTGCGTGGGCTTGAGCCTATTTTATTATCTTTTTTTTTTAAGGTTTTCAGGTTGGGTCGGTTGACCCAATACAAACCCAACCCAAACCCGAAATTCTTTTAAACCCAACCCAACCCAACCCTTATAATTCGGGTTGATTTCTCGGGTTAGTGGTTGGATGTACACCCGTAGGTAATATCCGAACCGGTTAAATGAGGTTTGGGTTTTCACTTTTTACTCTAGGGTACATTTTTTTATATATATAATATTAGATAATTATACCATATTTAAAGGTAGGGATAAAATTGGGTTTGAAAACTAATGCAATGATTTGTGTTAAATAATAAATAAATAAATAAAGCCTTTTTGGTTGCATAATTGTGAGGGGGGCATGAATGGAAATAGATAAAGATTGATGATTATGAATGATAGAAAATGTAGGTGAAAAAGTAGGCAAGTAATTATCAACTCCCATCATTAAATTTTCTTTCCTATTTTACCCTCCTAACAACAATTATTCACTTTTATTTCTTTCTATTTTTGCCTTCCATTATAAATTTATCTTTCTACCTTTAAACTTTATTTAATTCGGACCGACTCGAAAGTTCGATTTGACTGGACCGACCCGAACAGAGTTCACAACTTAACCTAACTTAACTGTTGGATCGGGTTGTCCGGTTGTTTTTTTTTTTTTTAAATATTAAAAAATTATTAATGATCTACAATCTTATTGAATTCAAATATCAAACATTCATAAGTTACAATACATCACTACTATCAATTGCAAACGTCAAATATTCTTAATAATCTTTTAAAAGTAGGGTATGCTGAGCTTAAGTGAGAAGGGCCTCCTCCGCCCACTGGTATTTTGCATGTATCGTGTTTACCGGGAGGGACCCGGGTTGGATTGTAACTCTATTTTTTACTGATAGGGTTGACTCAACAAAAAATGATTAACCCATGATTCGAATTTTTCAGTTTTTCTAAAATTCAACTAACCCAAGTCGGGAATAAAAATCTAACCTAACACAATCTTTAGTCATATTGGTCGAGTGCTAATTCGTATAAATATTCGTTTTTTTTTTAACGGATGTAACCTTTCAGGCTCTCACGTTATCAAAATATAAGATTATGTTATAAATCTCTGTGTTATATCTGTAAATGAACTCTTATGTTCGATCTTTATTATTCATTACTTACCGTCCAAAATCAATTACGATTATAAAAACAAGCTATATTTTTAAAAAAACGTTCGCTCTAAATATATCCAACGAACAACTATATCACATACATCGCATCCAAATTTCGTTGGATTATAACGAAGAGTTGACTATTGAAAGTGAATGCAAAAATTTAGAGCCATAAAGGAGAAAACTTTGAATCAGTGTCGGCCAATGCCACATTGTAAAGTCATTTAGGGTCGAGACTTGTCCCTAGCATACGCGTTTTAAAATTGTGAGGTTGACGGCGATACGTAACAGGCCAAAGCGGACAATATTTGCTAGCGGTGGATTTTGGCTGTTACAAATGGTATCAGAACCAGACACCAGACGGTGTGCTAGTGAGAACGTTGGCCTTCAAGGGAGTGGATTGTGAGATTCTATATCGGTTGGAGAGGGAAACGAAACATTCCTTGTAAGGGTATAAAAACCTCAACCTAACGGTTTTGAAGCCATCGTAGCCCGAGAGATAGAGACAAAATGATGGGATGGGAAGGATTTTGTTTGGAGCAAACCAAAAATTTGCGTACAAACCCCTCCAATTTTCCTTTATTCACAACATTGGTCCCAAATCATTTTGAAAACCAAACATCATTATTGACAAATAAGTCCTTCAAAACTATAGGATTTGATTGATAAAATTTCTTTCGGTTGCTAATCACGCTCACCACACGTCAAGTTGTATGTCGGGTGTCAACCAGTCGAATCAATCCACCTTAGTTTAATTCACAACGTAGAATCTCGATTTGAGCTCCTAATCGAGCCTCGTAAACTTATTCTTCGCATGTAGGTGGACAGTCCAACTCGACAAAAAAAAAAAAAAAAAAAAAAAAAAAAAAAAAAAAAAA